TGTCATCCATCACCACCCTCTGACTAGCAGAGGCCAGGGACACCATTCCTTACCAATCCTGGCTAATAGCCATTAATGGACTTAACCTCCATGAATGTATCCAGTTCTCTTTTAAACCTGCTACGAAGGACCGTGACTCTAGGAAATATGCATGAATTAGTGGATGGCTTTGCAGAAATTAGTGGATGGCTTTCCCAAACTGTGGAGGGGCAATAGATGGCACACATTTTCCAATTTTGGCACCAGAGCACCTTGTGATGGAATACATCAATAGGAAGGGGTACTTCTCTGTGGTGTTGCAGGTGCTTGTAGGTCACCGTGGGCATTTCACTGACATCAAGATGGGGTGGTCTGGGAAGGTGCATGATGCACTCATCTTCAGGAACACCAGCCTGTAGAGAAAGCTGCAAGTGGGACTTTCTTTCCTAACCAGAAGACTACAGTGGGGAGTGTTGAACCGCCCATAATGATCTTGGGGGACCCTGCGTCTCCCATAGCTCATGAAACCTAACACAGGACACCTGGACAGCAATAAGGAGCAGTTCAAGAACAGGCTTAGTAGGTGCTGGATGACAGTGGAATGTGCCTTTGGCAGATTAAAGGCACGCTGGCGATGCCTTTATGGCAGGTTGGACCTCACTGAGGATAATATTCCTATGGTCATAGCTGTATGTTGCATTATCTCTGTGAAGCTAAGGGTGAAAGGTTTGTTCAGGGGTCGAGTTCTGAGGCAGACGGCTTGGCAGCTGATTTTAAGCAGCCAGATACCAGGGCTGTCAGAGGAGCCCAGAGGGGAGCTATTTGAATTAGGGAGGCTTTGAGGCAGCACTTCGACAATGACCACCAGTAACATATATCTCTGTCTGAGCTGCTTCAATGTTACATCCCATGTAGTTTCCCTAGGAAGCAATGGTGACTTTGGGGGTCTTGAATTCCTGTAAGAAAGTGATTACAATGCCTGTACATGTATTGGCAGTGCCTGCAATCTCATCTTGTAGAAAAAAAATAAAGATGATTTACCATTATAAAAGTTTGCTTTTATTGCGCAAGAAACAGCACACACAAACACACAGATGTTTGGCGGGAAAAGAGGAGCCAGGGAAGGGCAGAATCTCGCAGTTGTGTGTAGGTCCAGCTATCATTGTGAAAGTTGTCTGCAGGGGTGGAGTGAAGGGGAAACTGAGAAGCCCAGGAAGGTGGAAAGGAATGGGCGGAGTTTGGGGGGAGGCATGGAAAAGAGTTCTGAATGTGCTGCAGATGAGGTCAACAACTGATCTGCTCAGTCTACAGCATTATTAAGGACTTCAGCATCTGTGTTTGTTTCTCCATTAAGGATGCTACTGAGCAGATGATTAAAGTAAACACATAATTCTCTTTTCTGTCTGGCCGTTTGGCTTCCCAGCACTCCTTTCATTCTCTTTTTTCTGCATTGCAGCACTTCAGGACCTCCCAGAACATGTCGTCTTTGCTGCGTCTTGGGCGCTTTCTTATCTGGTGGAGACGCTTGGCTGGGGTGCGTGGGGTGTTCCTGAAGGCCACATCTGGTGAAGCACAGGGGATAATGCACAGAAGTGGGATTGTTAAATTCACGCACAGCATTGAAACGTTTCTGTTAAATACACCTTTTGCAAAGTTGCCGTCACTTTCTCACTGACCCTAGCCAGGCACACATCTCCACGAACAGCCAAAGCATGGGGAGTGTTGGCAGGGGCGGGGAGGGGGCTACTTCACATGGGGAAAAGAGCACACACTGTTTGCAAGGGTTGTGATGCAGCATTCTAGGGAACAAATTCTAAAATTCTTCCACACTTTTCCACAGGCGGGGGTCATTCTAGCAGACATCTCACTGCTAAGGGTAAGCAGGGAAACGAGGCTACATCTACTCCATGCTTGTGGCTTCTGCCCTGCTTCCTATGCTGCTCACCTATGTGCTGCTTTGGTCCCTGCACAGGTGATTGACCAGTTGTGTGGGAAAGTTTCCTACAATGGGGGAAGGAACAAAGCTACTCTGCCATGGAAACTTCATCAGAGGATTACCGAGTACCTCCAGGAAACTTTCCTGGAGATCTCCCTGGAGGATTCCTGTGAGATCTTGGCGTGCATCAACACTCTGTTCTGCCATACTGATTAGCTATACAGGGAAACGTCCAGCTCACAGAAACACAGCCAGCCTCCCACATTTCTGTACCCTGAACCCACCTCCATACTACACAAACCACAGCCACTTACCAGAAATCTCATCTCCTGCTTCTTGCTCACCAGAGAGCAACTGCTGAGACTGGCTAGACACCTCTGGAGTGGAGAATGGTTCCTGGCTGCCTGACCGCCCCGCCGGGTGACTCCACTGGGAGCTGCACATTCTCATCTAACTCCACCTCTTCATTAATAACTTCATCCTCCGGGTTAGGTCCTCTTTCTGCTGCCTCTGTGCCCTCCAAAGTATTCACGGGGCTCTTGGTGATGGAGGTGGGGTCACGACTGAGGATAACATCCAGCTCCCTAAAGAACCAGCAGGTCTTAGAGTGAAGTACCTGAGCGACGGTTTACCTCCCTTGCCTTATGGTACGCCTGCCTCAGCTCCTTTATCTTCACTCTGCACTCTAACATGTCCCGATCTTAGCCCTTTTTGCACAAGCCTTGGGACATCTGCCCATAGGTATCCCAATTCCTACGTCTCAAGCTGTCATAACCATAAGGGTAGCCTAAAATTCCTCTTTACCTTTAAGGGGTTAAGAAGCTCAAATAACCTGGTTGGCACCTGACCAAAGGAACCAATGGGGACAAAAGATACTTTCAAATCTTGGCGAGAGAGGAGGCTTTTGTTTGTGCTCTTTGTTTACGTGGTTGTTCTCTCTTGGGACTGAGAGAGGCCAGACAGAAATACATCTTCTCCAAAACATCCTAATCCAAGTCTCCAGTATTGCAACCAGTATAGGTAAGCAGGCAAGGCAGATTAGTTTATCTTTTGTTTTATGTGAATTTTCCCTGTGTTGAGGGAGGTTTATTTCTGTTTTCTGTAACTTTAAGGTTTTTGCTCAGAGGGGGATCCTCTGTGTTTTGAATCTGATTATCCTGTAAAGTGTTTTCCATCTTGATTTTACAGAGGTGATTCTTTTACCTTTCTTTTTTTTTTTTTTTTAAAATAAAATCCTTCTTTTAAGAACCTGACTGATTTTTCCATTGTTCCAAGACCCAGGGATTTGGGTCTTTAATCATTTTGTAACCAATTGGTTAGGATATTATTCTCAGGCCTCCCCAGGAAAGGGGGTGTGTAAGGCTTGGGGGGATATTTTGGGGGAAGACGTCTCCAAGTGGTCTTTTCTCTGATTCTTTGTTAAATCGCTTGGTGGTGGCAGCGTACCAGGTTTCAACCTAAGTTGGTAGAAATAAGCTTAGGGAGCTTTCATGTGGGTCCCCACATCTGTACCCTAGAGTTCAGAGTGGGGAAGGAACCCTGACACAAGCGCAGCTGGGACTGCACAGCCACCTCTCCCCATATACTGAGCAGATCCAACCGATCTGCAGTGGTCCAAGCGGGACAGCATTTGCTGCGATAAACCACCATGGTCACCTGGGAAAATACGATGAGACCTCTCCACCCCGAGCAAACAGGAAATAGAATTTCAAAAATTCCCGGGGCTTCTAAGGGGGAGGGGTGGATGGTTGTTTACCTGTCTGCAGGGCAGTGGAGTTTAAACTACTGACCAGATGGGATGGGTCAGGATGGGCATTGTGGGATACCTCCTTTTAGGCCAATTAAAGCGATGAAATGAAGCGTGGTGTCTACACTTGCACTTTGTCAACAAAAATGTAGAGGAAAAAGAGTTAAATCTCTCGTGAGGGTGGATGAATTTTGTCACCCAAACCAGCCATTTTCCCCAACAAAAGTTGCCTTGCAGTGTGTATGCACTCACTGTTTGGGTCGACAAACGGCAGTTTTGGCGACAAAACCTGGTAGTGTAGACAAGGCCTGAGACTTAAGTGCATGGTTAAGTGATTTGCTAAATAGGGATGGGCTTAAGGACTGTTTATGTGCCTTGCTGAATCAGGGCTCAAAGAACATGTTTTAGCAACCCCCTTGCAGAATGGTATGGGTGTATTGATTTTGAATTCACGAGTAACAGTTATCCTTTGTTTTGTATCACCTTATTATACTAGGGTGGGAGTTGCACCTAGTAGAGGAGGGAAACTGAAGCCAGTATGGAAGCAAGTTTTTGGGGTTAAAACATAGGATTTGAATGCAGAAGATCTTGGTTCTATTCCTGGTTATGCCACTGACTGCTTGTGTGACCTTCCTCAAATCATTTTGCCACTCTGTGGCTCACTTTCCCATCTGCAAAATTAGGATACTGATTCTGAGGAACTTCACATGGGGATTACGAGACTTAGTTCATCAATGTTCAGAACACAGCATAAAAGGGCACAATATAATTATTATCATCCTTTTATTTGTGATTCATCGCATCTAGTATATGTGGAGCTACATTTAAGTGATTGAAACTAAAAATCTTATTTTAGTTGTATTCAAATTTATGAATGAGATGTTTTCACAAAATATAACCGCATAGAAAATTTAAAAGCAGCAAGATTTGTGTTCAAGTTAACTCATAAATATCCTTTTTTGTTCCATTTTTTAAATGTGTATTCTGGAGAAAATTATCTGTCAGTAGAGTCTTTCCAAACACTTGACTAGAGACTCTGGTTTTTTGCTCTAAATTTTTTAACAGAGTACTTGATCTCAGAATTTTTCTTCTGAGGTTTAATACTGTTTAAAACATTTAGTGCCACTGATGATGTTTTTGTGGATTTGTAAATGAAATCTGTGCAGCCAAATGCATGTAATTAGCACATTCAGAATATAACAATAAAAAGAATCATTCTGTGGAAAATGTGTATAAACCATCTATACTTCAATTTAGAAACACATCTGTTTATAAGCTCTCCCAAATACACATTCTCCTCTACAACCAGAAATATTTTCTACCTTTTGTGTTTTCTAGGCAGCCATTCTGAGTATAAAGCTAAACTTACAGCTGGAACTAGATGTGGAGAAGGTAAGTCTGTTTCCCCTGTAGTCTCCTCTATCATCATATGTATCCTTTGCTAAACAAGACGCACAGTCTTGCACAAAAGTGGAAGTTATATACCAGTACTATACACTAATATCTAATTTGCAAGAAGTCGCTAGGGAGCTGCTAAAAATAACATTTCAGTCTGTGAAGTGACTGAAAGATTTTTTTATACTACATTCCATCTTAATAGAATATTTTTCTAACTGGGATAAAACTTCAGCTGTGTTGATTCTGTTTTGCAAATTATTGTTTCTGTAATGAGGTTTATTAAATGCAAAAATAATCTCATCTCCTCCCCTGCTCCCCCCATTCAGAATAATGGGTGTAGAAGATAAGAGGTATTTTCTACCCATGTGGTGATAAGAGGTGGCCTTGGTTAAATAAATTCTAATGCCAAAGGTTTGTAATGTTATTGGTAATATTTGTGTTGAAAATTCTGTGTAGAAAACTTCCTTTAAGCATATTTCAATGTAGAAATATTTTTCTAACGTTGAAGCAATTCAGAAAACTTTTCTCAAGCACTTACAGACCTAGGTATAGAAGACTTTGAGACAGAGTGTGGCCCATCCCGAGCACGCATGCAGGGGTATAAGGCTCACTATCCACATTCTGAGCAGCAGCAAAATGGGACTGCTCCTGTGCCTGTAGGCTGGGAGTGGCTGGAGACTTGGCTCCGCCTCTCCAGTGCTGTGACCAGTGCTGCTGAGCCAATGCGATGGGCAGCAGTCTGCACTAGGTATAAAGCACAATGTCTCTGTAGTGCTTTACAAGTGTAAAACTATTTTTCTTCCTAGATGTGCACTCCATTGCTACTTCAAGAGAAAACTAACCTAGTGGAGGCTTATGTGGCAGAATATCCTGATCTCCAGTGCAAACTCTTGCAGACCCTGGATATGTGGTGTGAACCTAATTTTAATACTACAGATATCTCAAGGTATAAGATTATTCTATTTTCCAGCATTTTGTCCTCCTTATATCCAAACAGCATACAATATTATATAACATTATGAGCAGGTGCTAAATAGTTATCAGCTAAGGACAATATGTTTTCCAGTGCTCTTTTTACATTCACTAATAACATGTTAAAAGCCACAGGGTAAGTCACTTCCCATCAGAGAAGGGAAAAAATCTGGTAACTGTGAAATTTGGTCTTTCCGAAGGCCTTATTCTGTGAGACACTGAGCACCTATCACTCCCATTGATATCATTGGAAGTGTCAGGGGCTGAGCACTTTGTGCAGGGAAGCTAAAAACGAAAACATTGAAGTAGATCTTATCCAGGAGACCTCAACAGCCATCTGACTCTGGGGCTTTGCTGTGGAAGGCTGAGAGTCGCAATATCCATTGTGCATATCTGGCAGAGAGATGTGGGGATGAGAATGAGGATCGTCAGTTGGTAACCCTGATTTCAGTTGAATTTTTAACTGAAAATTTCCTTTCCGTCAGCTTCAGATAGCAGTGCTAAGCCAGGAAATGGTGCAGTTGTGAGGGAGCCATCTGCAGATAGCCCTAGTCAAAGAAAAAAGCCTTTGCATATGTGTCTAGTATTCCCGTGATACAGTGGCAAAAAACAAGAAATGTATATACTCATCATTCCTTTTCCAGTGAAATAATCAGGGTTGTTTTTTAATTTATAAACCACCTCCCACTAAAGTGGCTTATGCCAAGTAAGCACCAGCAGTGCAATCAAAATAACAGCATACACGCAGCAGATACAATGCTAATAAAAGCAGAGTGGGTATTACGTACTAGGTTGCTGAAAGTCAGGTCCTGATGTGAACTCTTAAAGCCCTTGAATGGAGAATCGGAGGCTGACGAAGACACAAGTATCAGCTAACTGATGGAAAGAGCAGCACTTACCTTAAAGTAAGCTCTCCACTTTGCTGCTGTCTCAGAAGCAGTGTTTTGAAGGTTTAATTGGACCATATGGAGGCTTTATTGGCTAGGACTTTCCAGAACATAAGAATAACCAGACTGGGTCAGAACAGTGGTCCATCTAGGCCAGTATCCTGTCTTCTGATGGTGGCTGATACCAGGTGCTTTAGAGAGAATGAACAGAACAGGGCAATTATTGAGTGATCCATCTCCTGTCATCCACTCCCAGCATCTGGCAGTCAGAGGCTTAGGATGCCAAGAGCATGGGGTTGAATCCATGACCATCTTCGCTAAAAGCCACTGATGGACCTATCCTCCATGAACGTATCTATTTCTTGTTAGAACTTAATTATAGTTTTGGTCTTCACAACATCCTCTGGCAATGAGTTCCACAGGGTGACTGTGCGTTGTGTAAAGAAGTACTTCCTTTTGTTTGTTTTAAACCTGCTGCCTATTAATTTCATTGAGTTCTTGTATTATGTGAAGGAGTAAATAACCCTTCCTTATTCACTTTCTCCATACCAGTCATGATCTTATAGACCTCTATCATATCCCTACTTAGTTATTTCGTTTCCAAATGTAAGAGTCCCAGTCCTTTTAATCTCTCATACAGAAGTTGTTCCATATCCCTAGTAATTTTTGTTGCCCTTCCCTGCATTTTTTCCCTTCCTAATGCAACTTTTTTGAGATGGAGTGACCATAACTGCTCATAGTATTCAAGGTGTGGGCGTACCATGGACTTATATAATGGCAGTATATTTTCTGTCTTGTTATCTATCCCTTTCCTAATGGTTCCTAACATTCTGTTTGCTTTTTTGATTGCTGCTGCACATTGAGTGGATGTTTTCAGGGAACTATCCATGATGTCTTTCTTGAGTGGTAACAGCTAATTTAGACCCAGTTGGAGGAAAGAATGGTTTAGGCTCAGCTGTAATAGATGAGGAGGGAAAAGAAGTTGTTACCACCACCAAGCATCAGACAACATCCCTGCTATTAAAAGGGAGAAGTATCTTATCTGCTTGCATTGATGTTTCTTCCTTGCTTTGTTTGTTTTGTTTACAGGCAGTATCAAGGTTTACGACCTAACAAACTCAACCACAAAATGTTAAGCAAACTGGTCTTCAGGCTCCTAGAACAATATAATCTAGATCCAGGTATGTGATATTACACTAAATCATTTAATCACCTTTCCAGTGAATCATTTAATCCATCCTCCCACGTGTCCAGCAAGCAATGTCTGCTGTCATTTGGAGCTTATTTGATGTTGTTTAAAAACAAAGCACATAAATTATGGAAATTTTCACTTTGTGTTGTTGAAGAACTAGATGCTAGTGACTAATTGGCTGTTTCTTCCATGATATGACATAAATCTTGGCTTCAGAATGGTTCTGCATAAACATGTGATGGTCGGCTTTAAGTACGTGCTCCATCAGGCTCACATAAGAGGCCACACATTACTCATCTGGGGATTCTGACTTAGTGAGTTACAAGCCAATTAGCTTAAAAGAGATAAGCCATGAGAAGAAGGAGGCACATATATCTTTCCTGTGAAATAGGGATGGCTGCTGCTGAAGGGAATTTAAAGGGCTCTTGCAACCTTACGGGAGAAGTAATACAGTTTACATCCTTCTAAGGGATCTGCTTCACTCCTAAATGTCACTCAAAATCCATTCTCTTTAACATTTTGCATTGATTATTACTGGGAGAGGTAATTAGGTTTCCTTGCATTGTGACATTAACAAGGTAATGACTCTTGGCAGAAATCCTCAGGTGCCCCCTATAATTTGCATCCGGTGTAGGTCCCTCACTCCATCAGCACAACTGGATATTGCATATTTCCCTGTTTTCTGGGACTGAATGTTATTTGTTAACCTAAGCTGTGAATTCTATTCCATCTTGTAGTGATACCGTGTTGCATATTCATCTTCACATCTCCAAAACGCTGCTCAAACATAAATGAATTATCCTCACAAACCCTCCCCCGGAGCATGTAATTGTAATTAATTCCCATTGTATTGGTGGGCAAACTGAGGCACCGAGGAATTAAGAGATTTGTTTAAAACCATACAACAGGTTGATGGTTCACCCACGGTTTGACCTGAGGATTTTCTGCCTTGTAAGTCTGAACATCCACTAGGTCATACTTCCCCTGTCAATTTACAAAGGGAGTTGAAGGAATTGCTCTCCCAAACCTGTGAAAGACCCACACACAGAGGAAACAGACTGTACAGGAGAAATGGTGAAATTGTCCGTGCATAAAGTGCTGTCAAAGCACAGAGCGAGCAAGCTGAAAAAAAACAGAGATTTGTTTCCTTTAACCTTAGATGTTACTTGTAACAACAGTAAGAAAAAATGTTCAGACAGAAATGTGCTTTTGGAGTTGACAGTGCCCTTTGAATTATCCAGGGTTAGAAATCACACTGAAGGTATAAAACACTATATGGTATAACTACAAAGCATCATTATTATCATCATATCCTGTTGGTGAGTTTTAGCTTCTCCAGGATTTTTATTCGTACACTGCCAGATCTGTCTAACTGCACCTGCTGTATTAATGACTGTAGGGTGTGTACCAGTGATTCTGCAAAAAGAGATTAGGGGGTACAGCAGATAGGGGTAGGTGGATCTGCCAGGGCAAATAGTGACAAAGACTCCAGCAATTTGAAGGATTCTTCCTGTTCTAATGGAATTTCCCATGTGGATCTATTTCTGGAACCCGGGTGGGACTTTAAGTGCACCACCCCAATGTATGTTCATATTTCCAGAGGTTTCCTTCATCTTTTCCCCAGCAAGGTACCTGCAGTGTGAAAGAGATTTGGCCACCAGCTTGATCTGTAACGTTGTTTGTATTATTGTTCGTGCAGGATAATAAAAACAATGCCTCAGTTAAAAAATTCAGCCCTTGAATTTACCTATGGGTATTAACATACAGTATAACTGAAGAATTACTTGGAACCTTTGATCAGTTTTCTTTTTATTGTAAATGACAGTACACTGTGAAATTCCATGCATATGAGCAGGGTAATGTTCCAGGGAGAGCTCATGCTGCAAGTCAGGACATGCATTGGCAGGTGTTTGCGGTTTTTGAGGATTTGATTCCAATTGTTCTTCTTTGAGTGCTGTCCCTCGGGGTGCTCCATTTTAAGTGTTTGTGCGCCCCTGTGCTTGTACTCAGAGACTTCTGGTAACAGTGCCCGGTTGGGTCGCACATGCATGGTCCCCATCTCATGCTGCTTCAGGCAGTTAACTGATGCTGTGTGACCAGCCCCCCAACTTAGTTCCTTCTCTACGCCCTCCGCTACAGAGTCGGAGCAATCAGCAGCGCCTCGCTACTTAGTAGTTAGTTAGTTTAACAGTTAGTTTCTTAGTTTTCTCATTAACAGCTATTTACATTGTTTCCCTTTTTCTTTTATCCCTGTCACCTAGTTTAAAACAAAACAAAACCCTTTTTCCTTTTCCTTGCCTTTTGAACTACTGGCTGGGGAGAAGTTTCAGTTGAACCTTCGAATACACAGCCTCTCTGAGAGCGAAAGCCCCCACTGACAGGAACGCCTGGTTTCCTGGGCTTTAAACGCTGTCTCAACTGCAAGCTTGCTACACCTGTCTCAGGCGGCCACGATCAGTGTGTTCGCTGCCTCTGCGAAACGCACACAACTCAGAAGTGCCCGCACTGCCTCAAGCTCACTGCTAGGACAAGAAGAGCTGGAGATTTGCAGTTAAAGCTCCTCCTTAAGGAGAAGTCTCTCAAACCTGCATCTGAGCCCGGAGCCCTCCTGGTGAAACTTCTCTGACCACGGCTTCTGACAGGGGTTCCTCCTCAACCATGCATCTGAGCAACCTGCCAAAAAACATCAAAAAGGCAGGCACCTGTGTCCCCAACGCAGGAATCAGCCAAGAAATGACGTTCCATGAGTGGGCACTCAGCACCGGCATCGACTGCACTGTAGGCACCGGTTATAGACACAGCAGGACCACCCTGTACCGCTAGAGCCAGAGACTCTAAATGAGTCGGCTCTGACAGAGGCACTAAGGAGAAATCTAAGCCTCATGCCTCGGCACAGCCAATACCAAAGCTGCGATCCGCACGCAACAGCGTGGCACCGGGACAAACGGTGGCTCCTTCAAAGGCATGCTCGGTGCGCACAGCGGCACAGCCTTCAGTGCCAGCTTATACACAGCAGCTCCCAGCACCGACAATGATACCGCCTCAGGGGCCAATCAAACAGATCTCGCAGCAGTTTCTCAGCCGCAAGGGCCTCTTCGTCTCTTAGTTGTCCCTGACTCCCCTATCATCGGCACCAACACAAACATGTCATGCTTGGCACCGAGTCTCCTTGCATCTGGGAAGAAGGATGGTGCAAGTGGTCTTCTTGTCCATCCTCCCCGTGGAAGGAAAAGGCCCGGGTAGAGACCGTTGAATCGTGGAAGTCAACGAATGGCTACGCAGGTGGTGTCGGAGAGAAGGCTTTGGAGTCTTTGACCATGGGATGGTGTTCCAAGAAGGAGGAGTGCTAGGCAGAGACGGGCTCCACCGAACGAAGAGAGGGAAGAGCATCTTCACAAGCAGGCTGGCTAACTTAGTGAGGAGGGCTTTAAACTAGGTTCACCGGGGGAAGGAGACCAAAGCCCTGAGGTAAGTGGGGAAGTGGGATACCGGGAGGAAGGACAAGCAGGAGCGCGTGAGAGGAGAGGTCTCCTGCCTCATTCTGAGAAAGAGGGATGATCAGCGGGTTATCTCAAGTGCCTATACACAAATGCAAGAAGCCTGGTAAACAAGCAGGGTGAACTGGAAGTCCTAGCGCAGTCAAGGAATTATGATGTGATTGGAATAACAGAGACTTGGTGGTATAACTCACATGACTGGAGTACTGTCATGGATGGATATAAACTGTTCAGGAAGGACAGGCAGGGCAGAAAAGGTGGGGGAGTTGCACTGTATGTAAGGGAGCAGTATGACTGCTCAGAGCTCAAGTATGAAACTGCAGAAAAACCTGAGTGTCTCTGGATTAAGTTTAGAAGTGTGAGCAACAAGGGTGATGTCATGGTGGGAGTCTGCTATAGACCACTGGACCAGGGGGATGAAGTGGACGAGGCTTTCTTCCGGCAACTCGCAGAAGTTACTAGATTGCACGCCCTGATTCTCATGGGAGACTTCAATCACCCTGATATCTGCTGGGAGCGCAATACAGCGGTGCACAGACAATCCAGGAAGTTTTTGGAAAATGTAGGGGACAATTTCCTGGTGCAAGTGCTGGAGGATCCAACTAGGGGCAGAGCTCTTCTTGACCTGCTGCTCACAAACGGGGAAGAATTAGTAGGGGAAGCAAAAGTGGATGGGAACCTGAGAGGCAGTGACCATGAGATGGTCAAGTTCAGGATCCTGACACGAGGAAGAAAGTAGAGCAGCAGAATACGGACCCTGGACTTCAGAAAAGCAGACTTTGACTCCCTCAGGGAACTGATGGGCAAGATCCCCTGGGAGAATAACATGAGGGGGAAAGGAGTCCAGGAGAGCTGGCTGTATTTTAAAGAATCCTTATTGAGGTTACTGGGACAAACCATCCCGATGTGTAGAAAGAATAGTAAATATGGCAGGCGACCAGCTTGGCTTAACAGTGAAATCCTTGCTGATATTAAACGCAAAAAAGAAGCTTACAAGAAGTGGAAGATTAGACAAATGACCAGGGAAGAGTATAAAAATATTGCTCGGGCATGCAGGAGTGAAATCAGGAAGGCCAAATCACACCTGGAGTTGCAGCTAGCGAGAGACGTTAAGAGTAACAAGAAGGGTTTCTTCAGGTATGTTGGCAACAAGAAGAAAGCCAAGGAAAGTGTGAACCCCTTACTGAATGAGGGAGGCAACCTAGTGACAGAGGATGTGGAAAAAGCTAATGTACTCAATGCTTTTTTTGCCTCTGTCTTCATGAACAAGGTCAGTTCCCAGACTACTGCACTGGCAGCACAGCATGGGGAGGAGGTGACCAGCCCGCTGTGGAGAAAGAAGTGGTTTGGGACTATTTAGAAAAGCTGGACGAGCACAAGTCCATGGGGCCGGATGCGTTGCATCTGACAGTGCTAAAGGAGTTGGCGGATGTGATTGCAGAACCATTGGCCATTATCTTTGAAAACTCATGGTGATCGGGGGAAGTCCCGG